CGTTGATCATTACCTTCTGACGTGGACGTTCCATAGGCTCCCTGCCTCCCATCCCTTCGTCAAGGAGAGAATCCTTCTTGTTACTTGTAACACTAAATAACTAGGTAAGATACTATTAGTAGACTAGTATTTTAGACTTAGGGTCGTTCTATTTCCTTATTTCTCCTTACTACTATATTAGCGTAATATTAGGTCTTCCTCTCTTATTATTATTAGTTATAGGTTACTACTATTAGCCTTATATTTTAAGTTTACTTAAGGAAAGTGAAGATAAAGCTATAATACATGCTAGACCTATCTACTAGACTACTATTATAGTTAATACTAATACTAATGCCTTCGCTATACTAATAATTAGTATTACTTACTATAAGTATATCTATTTACTTTTCGTGTAAACGTAGGCCTGAAGAATAGTCTAAGTGTCTAAATTATTATATATATTAATTAAGATCTTATTAATAGATTCTACTAGAGAGTGTTTAGCCTATTACACTAGGTTATCTAAAGATAATATTTATATAGGCATCCTATAAGCGTAAAATTTATATTATAAGTTATTTTTATTCTATTTAACCTACTCCTAGCACTTTAAGCTAACTATCCTACGTAGGAGTGATAAGGTTAAGGCTTTCTAATAATTTACAATATATTTAAAGATTATATATCCTTCTTAACCTACTAAACTAAACTCTAAAAACTAGCCTCTTTATTTAGATAAGAGGAACCTTCTACTTTAGAAGTTCTGTCTAACTAGTTTAAAATTCTTTTAGTATTAGATCTTTTAATTCTAACTATAAATATTTCTATAGTAAGTATAGTTATAGGCTTAGGCTAGGTTTTAAGCTATATAGTAGGCTAGTTTCTCTTATAGTATAGGTTTAGTAGTAGAACTAGCAATTACTACTACTACAAAGAGGTAGATAGTAAGAATCGAGAACTAAGGGAATTGCATTTTAATAATAATTAAGAGAAGGTCTTTGCGTATAAGATAATAATATTTAATAGTTATAACTAGAGCACACGCTTTAAATACATAAAATTTAGCATTATTAGTCTCTTATAAGACAAATATAGTTTAACTATTAAAACGTTCTTATAAGTTTACGATAAAATCTCTAAGTTATAACTAGATTTTAAGTTAGTATTTATTATATCTAACGTATAAAGTGCATAATATAAAGTATAACTACTTAGATAATATCTAACCTACTAATAGTAAGTATATAGACGCGTATACACTATAGCAAATAAACTTTAAGTAGATTTAAGGCGAGTTAGAGTTACTAAAATCTCGTATATTATAATATATATCCTTAAGTGCTGGGCACCCGCTGCACTAGAACAACTAAGGGGTAATTATACTTTTAATACGTTGCTTTCTTTAGTGCATTAAATAAAGCTTATTAGAAAATTTAGTTAGGAATGTATAATAACGTTTCTTATAACGCCGAGGACAGATTTGTTTATATAAAGTTTATAGGTTAAAGTTTTATAACTAGGGCCGTGCTTAAGAGGTTATACTAAACTTAACTAAGTAGTTAAATATAATGCTTAGCTAATCGCAGCTTTATAAAGTCTCTAATCTAGGGTCTTTAGCTAATTATAAGTAAAAAATTATATAGTATTAAAGTAATAAAACTTTGGCTTCACACCTTCGTAAACTAATCAGGCTAGTCTAGCTAGGTTTAGTAAGCTTTTAGCCTAGAAAAAGTAGTAGTTAGTTATACTCTAGTCTTAGATAAGACGGGCTTTATTAGGTTTGTTGCTAACATATATAGCCGTGAAGCCCCTGCACACGGCAAATTAACAAATAAGTCGGCTGATCAATTTGGTGGTAAGATTAAAAGTTTCGGAGTAATTAAGAGTAAGAGCGGCATTAGATCACTCGCACCGGAAGTTTCTCTAGGTAAAGCCGTAGTGTAGTGTCAGTGCCTGCCCTCGTAGCTACTGCCCCCGTCTCTTGATACAGTAGGCTCGGCGGAGAGAAAGAGAGGTAAGCTGGAAACTTTGTGTGTTGTAGATGACGATGTGTCTCGGTTGAAAGAAGTAAGCACAGTAAGCACGCGCCGAGGCGAACGGGCCTTCCTGACGGCTCTGTGAACGCTGCCGCGCTGCCAAGTTGTTAAGCAGGTAAGACTGATAGCCTGTAGGCAAATTTCTTATCAAAAATTGCATTCGACGCTGTGATCACATTAGAATGATCTATGACAATCATGCTTTTCAGTTGGTCGTGGTATCGTGGCAATACCCACTTCTTGAACCTCATCTAAGCGTCCCGTTCACAAAGTTATTGTGCTGACATTATCCTCCACGAATTAGTTAGAATGGAGTATGCTTACTAAAGCCTTGGAAGGGTTAGTTATACGGAAGTAAGATTACGTGTACTGTAATTAGTTGTTTGGTCCAAAATCGTCGTCTTCAAAGTTAAAAGATGCTCCGAACAAGAGGTGACGTAGACAACATAACTGCCGCTGACGGGAGCCAACGTAGTCACTGTCGGATGTAACGTTGAATCTTCCGTCTGTTCCATTTTACACAGTTCCCCACTTCCCTGGATCTTCATGGATTTGATCATTTGAGACTGGATACACAAATAATAGATCCATGATAGCCGTGTTTTGTCTAACCGGAATTGTTGTGGATATGTCGTCATTAAGTCCTCAATCTAATTCTTATTCTTTGCAGTAGTGAGGGGGTTGTTTTTTGAAGAAAACGAGCTCTCAGACTATGAAGTGCTAACTTCTTCTCAAGTCTATCATGTATACTTGATCTACCTAACCACAAGAAATATGAATACACGTTACGCTGCCGTTTTGCATAAGCTCCGGTGCACGAGCTATTTACTAGTGAAGTTTGGATCGCTTGTAATACAAGGACTCCAAATCTAATTGAGTTTATTACTCTTATGACCTGCCGCGAGTGCGGGGGGTTCACCTATGATAGTCTTGATAAGACCCACTTATCCAATCTCGAACGCATTTCCATCCTAGTACCTCAATGATCCTGCTGGATATGTACCAGGATAACAGAGCGTAATCGTTATGCCATTCTTCTCATCATCGAATGACCTCTATCTGACACAAATCTTTAGTCTAACAATTACTAATGAGTAACTAAAACTCTACGCTATATGAACTGGTCCGGTGCCTGCCTTCAAACTCATTCCATATCACCTACTTTGACATTTATCCTCTCACGATCAAACCCAATCAACCGCAAACAAACTCCACAATGAAGTACTTCGTTATTCTTCTTGCTGCTGTTGCCACAGCATCTGCTGTCGCAGTTCCTGAAGCTCAACCTGAGAGTCTTGACAAGCGGGCCTGCTATACTGCGGTAAGCAATTTTAAAAATGTTGCTCTTTTACAAAAATTTGGACTGACCTTTCATCTTCAATAGTTTGGAGCTTGCCGAGCTGTTTGTCCAAACGCTGCTTGTGCCAGAGGTGGTACCAACACGGCGCCAGAGTTCTGCTGTTAAATACGGGGCTGAACTTCTACTTGTGTGGCTAGCAAAAGATTTCGGAACAAATGTCGGTAGCGCCCATCAATCATTCTAGTCTAGGTACAATCTCTGGAAGATGTACATGGCACGTGGTTAGCTTCCAAATACTACTAGGAAAAACCGACTTTATTACCAGCCCTTTGAACAGCCTAACATGAACTTTCGTCTTAGATTGACTTGTGCTGGCTAAAGAGTGACGTAAATGGCAAGCGAGAATGGCTTTATTCTTGAAATAAACATCTAACGTGTTTCACCAGTGTGCGCCCCACCCCAGTGTGCGCCGCACGAAATCATAGTACCCTCACCTTCATAATAACAACGCGTGATGTCTCAACAACGCCAAACTCTAAAGACTCATAACGTCCGTCCCTACGTGCCGGGATGCACGGTGTGACGGGACACTTTTTCTTTCGGGTCCCCGGGTTGCACCCACCATACCTACAAATCAACAGGCCCGGCATGCATCCGTTTCACAGCTCTTGCTCTTCCAGTGCATCGACCTCTAACCCCGAAAAGCGTGTTGTTGACCACGCTGTCGCTCGTCCTGTTAGTGCTGTCCATCGACTCTCCTCTTATACCCCCTTGTTTGCTCGCGACAGCATCTACTTCCCCGTAGCTTAGCGGGCTAGAAAGAAAGCTAAGATGGTAAAGATGAACACTATAGTCTTCTAATGTCGATTTAGAGCAATAAGTATATATTCCGGCAGTCTCTCCGCGCAGACGGCATGGTACCCTTCAAAACAATTCAATTTTTGTTAGAAATCACACCTAAAGCGCCTAATAAGGCAACTCACAACTCATATCGGGCCCAGCCCTCCCTCTGACAGAGAGATGGCGGTGCCAGGTACCCCAGGGCAGGTATTTCGGCTTCCAGAAGTCACGCACACACGCCCTGAGGACCCAAATACCCCTAGCCTCTCAGCGAGTCGTTTTTGCAAAGTATACAACTGATTGTCGAGTATACGCGTCGTATTTGGAGTCCTCCACTGCGTTAGATCATCTGGAGCACCAGCAGCGTCGTCGCTATCGTATACGTCTGGCGACGCCAAGCCACCACTGCCTTCCAAAACGCGTGTAACGCGTCTCATCTCATCCACCACAGCCACCCATCGACATGCTCAAACCGCTCGAAAAGAGGACTGTAAGCCCAGAAGTACCATGTATAGTCACGTGCTTGCTCACTGACTAATGACACTGTATTTAAACCTGCTCCTATCATAGTACTCAACACAATACACAATACTTTTCTACATCCACAACTGCTTACAAGGACAGACAGCTCCTTCCTACCGTCTGACAGGTCCTGAATAACATGATTCAGATTCCGGAGGATGAAAGAGCTTGCGACGACGAAGGCGGGGTAAGCAGGTGCTGACTGAAGCATTATCACGCGATCACGTGGGCCTAATATACGTTGTCCATGCCGACGTTTTGCCGAGCCAGCCTCCTTGGCCTGCGCGCCTGTCGCGTTACTTCGCCGCTTGTATACTCGTTGTACCCTTTCACAATGCACTTTCTATCTCAGCCGCTTATAGTCTCTGCGTACGAAAATCTACGCATGCGAGTTCGGTCACGCAATCGCACTACGATTCCTTGAGCATTTGCAAACAATGGCAGCTCCGTCTCGGTTGGAAACACTCGACTCTAAACCCGTAGGAGAGGGATTGAGCAGCGTCCGCAATTCATTCAATACCCTATGTAAGGATTTACATGTACCAGAAAAAGGTACTACCAACATCTACTCTGTTGTTCTCACATCTAAGCTATACTAGAACTGAAAGACCTAGCCGTCCATTTCATCACAGCATTGCAAAGTCTACCACTTGTCCGATCATTCCCGTCCGGCGCAGGTCGAGGGACTCTTCGCAGTGATCTACTGCGACTTGAACTCTGAACGGAAGCTGACAATGTTGACATCGAACGCACTAAACCGCTTCTTCGAGCAGTCCTCGAAAATGAACCTGATGAAGTCATCTGGAACAGCACCTACGACGCCGTCAGCGAATCGATGCCTCCACCCCGCCCTACCTCGTTCTTCCAACATCCATCCCTTTCTGTCAATACGGGCAGCTTCGCGAACTCGACTGAGCACCGCAAACACGTAGACGATGTGCTGAGACACCTGTATGTTGGCATACCCGGCTTCGCCGAGGCGTTCTTCGGAGATGTGCCTGGTCTGAGAGCGGTGGTACAAGCCGTGTTGGTCGCCTAACTGCAGGCAGGCTATACTGGACGTTTCATAATTTAGATTAGTAAGAAAATAGTTAGACACATTTAGAAAATGTTACAAAGAGAATACAGGTTGTCGTTCTCGAGAATATAATCGCACTGATTGAGAGAGCAAAAGAAGTTATATATGATATAAATATGTTCTGCTCAAGAGAATTATACAAGAAGTCTTGCATCTGCCACTTCAAATTACTGCTTACGGTACTGGCGACCGCCTAATGACGGAAGGTTTGAAGTATTTCTGGTAGCGTTCTAGATCGAAACTACCGTCTTCAAGTTCCTTACTATCAGGTTCTCCTGCCCAGCAGAAAGTCCGACAATTTCTAAGAACCTTCCCACTTTCTAAAACTGCATCACACTCTTCCCATCGATAAGCGGCAGTCTCATAAGCTGCCAAACGGTTGAAGTGGGCTTCTGAGTTCACCTTCCACACAGTGCCAGTTACGCTTCCAGAGTGACAGGGTATTAATGTTGGATATATGCCCCACATTTTGATACGGAAACCAAAAATAGTAGCAGGCCTTGTAGTTGGAAGTTCCGGGAGATCGAGAATTGCTTGGAGGACTTCAGGATCCATGAGTGAACCGTAGAAGAACATATAAAATGGCTGGAAAGGTTCACCGGGTATGTTTGCTTTCGTGTCTTTGAGGAACTGCCAGTAGTGTGCTTTGTCTATGGGCTCGAACGCTCCAGACGGCACTGGAGGGGGCGGGGGTACTATGCTCGCCGGTCTTGATGATTTGAATAGTTGTGGAGGTGGAGGTGGTGGTGGAGGTGGAGGTGGTGGTGGAGGTGGTGGTGGAGGCGGCATTGCAGTACTTGGTATCGAAGTTTCGTCGCCTCGACAAGATGAGAGTGGAGGCGGAGGTGGAGGCGGAGGTGTATAGTCCATTGTGGAAGCCGCTGAGTGCAAAAGTGCACGCTCGCTTTCGTGATAGAATTGTTGGTCAATGTTCTGACTGTCGGGTTGTTGTTGTAGCTGCTTTGCTTCTAAAGTTGCTCTAACAAGACTGTTATACGGCGCTTATTGCGGCGTAAGATAGTTATAAGTAGGTGAAACAGCTAGACCCACAATGCCCTATCGAGGCTCGGCGTTACTTGGTCCCGGGCGTTACGCAGTCATTGGTATCCGCGCTAGCCTGTCTCAACCTAGTGCTTGGACGTAAGAAGCGCCAGCCTTGGCCGCAAATACCACAACCTCAAAAAATATCAAAACACCATCCCACAATTCGAAGTGGGGCCTGACTGTGCCGCTTTCTTGATCCCCCTGGTTACCCGTTTCAATTCGCTATGCTTGATCCGAACATGCAACATGGCCAAACGCTACGTTAGAGCCTCAGCAGGCGCGCGCGTTCTTGAGAATGACTTACCATAATTCAAATCGAACGAAACAGGTGTCTACGACTATAAATCAAGCTCAGAAGCATTTCTAGTCTCCAGAACACATCATATTAATCTAAACACATCAGTCTAAGAGTAGATTCACCATACCTTCCGTCGCCTTTACTACATCCTGATCGACATATTCACTTCATTATCTTATATCCTAATCGATCTATTATGGCCTCTTCTCATTCAGCTCCGATTGCACTCCGCTTCGGTGCGGAACTCGAGGTCGTAACTGGTAGCAGAGCCAACGCACACATGGAATGGTATCTAACTGCCAACGAGCTCAGTAAAGAACTTAGGAGTGTTCAAGTAAAGAACCATGTAAACACTGATCACAACAAAGATGCAGAAGACTATTCAGAATGGTCTATCATCCAGGAAGTCACAATCACGAACCAGATGATGCAAAATAAATGTAAGTCCTTATGATTATCAGACAACCGCTTTCCATGTTAGACAATCAGTCAAATCCTAACAACACGACAGGGGGTATGGAGCTGGTTTCCCCAATTCTGGACTTTCAAGATCAGCGCACATGGCATTGGCACATGGATGCAGTGTGGTGGGTGTTGTCTGCGAAGTTCAGCACCTCGTCCACTCCCCAATGCAGTACGCATGTTCACATTTCGCCAACTCAAGGGAGCTGGACCCTTGCACAAGTTAAGAGAGTTGCCAAGGCAGTGCTCTACTACGAGAGGTCTATCGACACACTTCTGCCACAGGAACGCCGCCAAAATATCTGGGCTCAGAGCAATCGCCACAACACCGTCACAAAGCCCCAGAATATGGTCACGCTATTCTCGTGGATAGATGGAGCAAGGGATATCCCTTACATTGCTCTCATCATGTGCGCTTTCTCGAAGGATTCTCAATATGGGCGAGACGTGGGCAAAACCCAAGACTTCGTACACAACGTTTTCCGATGGAACTTTATGCCGCTCACAAAAGGCTCGATGGGAACTATTGAGTTTCGCCAACCACCTGGATCTTCTAACGCCGCCGATACCAAGCTTTGGATTACGTTTGCCGCCTCGTTCATCCAAGGGGCAGTCTTGTTTGGGGACGGTCTGAACGGAAACCAGCCACCGACTCTAGAGGGCTTTAGAGGCTTTTTGATCAATGGTGCGATTCAGTCCGGGGTCACCGACTATAGTGCCCTCAACCAGCTTTTTGAAGGCAAGGCTCAGCTTCCTCCAGGAGCGTACAACTTGGAGGAGCTCTCCCCACAAGACCTTGCAAACTTGAAAGCCAAGGCTACCCAAAGCAACATTACAGTCGAGAAGTTCAAGAAGCTCTATGGTTACAGGTAGACATAGGTCTCATGGAGGATGTTCGTATGGTGCGGTTTAATCTCGTGTACCGTTGTTGTTCCTTGTTGTTTTATTAGCAGAAATTAGTTACCTTGAGTTATAATTGTTTTGCTGCGCTGCAATGCATGTATCTCTCTTTTAATAGTAGCAAGTTTTACTTACTATTATTTTTTAAAGTATTTAGTAGCTGCTTATTCCACTAATAGTAGACTCAGGGTAGCTTGATCAACAGATTCTACTGAGAAATATATGCTAGGGTTTAGGGATAGTTAAAGTGATTAACGTAGTCGACTTAGGCAGTCTATTTTGATTGTAGTGACCTATTCTAGTTTCTATCTACTAGCTATTCTATTTCCAACATATTCTACAGGTTGTAGCGACGTTACAACTCTGCCACGTATCGGACCCATCTCAGAGCCGGATCGGAGGAAGTATCCGCCGCCCCCTTCAGCAGCCCATCATTCTTAGAGTCGGATCAGACTCAGACCCGACTAGGACATGTATATATTGAGACACCTCTTGTAGCTAGCTCTGTAGACTTTTGATATCCTTTCTTACAAGGCCTATAGGCGGCTGGTTGAATCTAGGCCCTTTGAGATCCCACGCACTCCCATCAGCGAAGATACACGCTTGATGGACGACTGGGAGGAGATACTCGGAGCCTTTCTTTATGCAAGTATGAAGGCTAGCAGATCTAGGAAGATTGAGGAAAAGCTAGGTTTGAAGCTCACTGGCGCTGCGAGGATCTCACCTCCAGAAGACGGTGCCTACGATAGCAGATTGAACGTCATGTTAGATTTCGACACAGGCTACAAGGCGTGGCTAGGCTTATTTCGTCGCTAAACCTTTCGCACCAATTTAAACCACATCTCTCAACAGCGACGCTTTCCCCATGAGACAAAATGACGTTTTCACCTTTCTCGCTAGTGTTTTGTGACGTCATCTCATCTTTACCAACACTTATTTTACCGTTACCAGGCTTCCAAAACATGACCCTATCATATGTGACTGCTCCAAATAGTTATGCGATAGCTGATATACTCAAAGTCATCGTTGGCGGTATGTCCGTCCTCATATTTCTCGCAAGCTGAGAGCATTAGGATGTTTGGAAACGTCGGTCCTACCTGGGACATTTGTGATGAAACAAATGTTGGGATGTTTTTCCTCCAGTTGCGATGTGTACGGGGAGATGCGTTCTGCAGCTCAGGATTGAGAAGGGCTTGCCGCAGTTATAGAATGTACGCCGTGGAAGATATGGAGGAGGTCACGAAGACGTGAGCCTTTCGAGAACTCGTCGGCGCAAAATTGTCTTCTGATAGAAAGGTTGATATCAGCATATGCTTGAACGCGTTGAAAAAATAACTCACAGAGGACTCGTTCAAGACCGCACTCGGATGTCTGGAAGAAATGGCAGGAATATTTGCATCTTAGCTAAGCGAAATCAACAGGGAACGTGATCTTTAGAATCAAAAGAAGAAGTTTTAGTTACCTGTTTGTTGTGTAGACTGATCGCGGGAGCAAAATGGTAATGTGTTGTAAGGCTATAGGTGCGTTGATGCCCAAGCAGTTGGGTTCAGGGGTGATAGCATTCGAATGCCCCACCTTCCATAATCGGCGCTATCACGTGTAACAGCACAACTACTCGCCCCACGGCGCCTAATTCGGAAGAACTAGGCACCATGGAGCGAGTATCAGGCCACACTGGAATCCTCGGTTGAGTAAGCTATATCGCGAAACGTGTTCAATTCGTAAGTGGCCTAGCTACCCTATCAAAGCTAACGCGACTGTTGACAACAACAATGATGCCGCGATGGTAACGTTGTCGATAGACTTGCGAACGCAGGCTTCTTTTGGCATTTCGTGCGCTTTGATCAACGTAGGGAGAGGCCATCAGTTTTATTATGTATCCCTTGAAGAAGTTCACTGCAGGCTCAGCGAGGCCAGCAGCTCATTCCAGAGACAGAAACAGCAGTTCTGGAGTTTGGACAAGCTCAGGTTATTCGAGGACGTCAGTGCGCACCACCAAGGTGTACAATATGTCATATTCAAGGGCATACGTGGACTCAGTGTACTATGTACTATGAGAAAATTACTGATAAGTTTCATCAAAGTGTCTTTTCCTGTTCGTACAACTATCGCAGAGAGACTTGCGTCCGCTTTGGTGGGGTATTCCACTTGTTGGTGGAATACATTAGCTGGCATGCTACTTCTAACTTATGCACGGCTAAGGGCTACATATAGCTAAAGGTGATAGTGGAAAGTGGAGCCATTCTTGGTTTTGGTTTCGGTTCTGGCTTTGGCTTTGGTTTTGGCTCTGGCTTTGGCTTTCTTTCCCTGTATCTCCCTCCTTTACTCTAAGATTTACAGATCCATACAGTGTGATTTATTTCATAATTACTGCAGCTTTGAGATGCTAATTGATTAGGGCAGAATGGCCGTTGGTATGAATGTAGAGCGTAACAACAGATGAAACAATCCATGATTTCCCTATGTACTTTAGTATATTACCACATCTCCAGGCTAAATATCCCTATGTTCAATTATGCTTCGTGAAGATTGATGGATCGCTGCTTTGTATCTAGAGGAACGGACTAGTGCGCTTACTCCATGCATTCTGTAATTTCTGTCAATTCGATTTACGCCGAGAATGAAGTGTCCTGCAAGCCCCTTTTATGCCTGATTTGATGTGACTTAGGGGCATGGCACCTATTATTGCTCTCAACAGAAGGACTAATGCGTATCAGCATAGTGTGAGGCGTGGCTACGGGCGTCAAGAGGCAAATCAAGTGCCAACAGATTTGGGAATATTGGTATAAAGGATAACAGTCTATCTCTATCACTTCAACATTTCAGAGCCGTCGTATCTAGCCTTGCCTAGCCAGTTGCCTCTCCTCAACCTATTTCTCGCTCCAAGCCTCTCACATCTTCAAGAATTTTAGTGTTCGACGCTTTGCTGTCTTTTCCCGCAGTACTGTGACGTTCACTGATATTCTTTGCGCTTATCTTCGCAGAATCATCTCGAGGTCCGCCTTCCCCTTTTCAACCGGCCTCTCTGCCTCAATGACCTCGTCTCAAGCCTCTGATGATTGAGTGTAGTTCGCGGACGCACATTCCGTTCTCATACATAGTTCACTGCGCTAAAAAGCTCGTTTTGAAGCACTCAAATCACGAACACTGAGGTTAGAGCGTGCATTCGTAACCCCAAAAGTATGTGCTGATTTAATAGCCTCACCGATTCAATATGTCGAACACAAATACTGCACCTTCCGTAAACGCATCCTCGTCTTCTAGTGAGCAGTCTACGAACCCTATCAATATGAACGAAACTAGTGGGGGTAGCAATAGTGAAGCTAGGGATAACGTATCAACTAATGCACCGGAAAATTCATTGAGGGCAACAACGCTAAGTAGTTATATCTGCACTACCGGTTCATCAAAAGAGGATCATCAAGCATGGAACGCTACTTTGGATCGATCTTAACCAGAAATACCTGCTTCAGATTGCTGTTCGAAAGGTATAGTGCGATGTTGGCCTCGGCAAACATATCATGTGATAGAAATGACGTAATCGGATGAGTCATTGCATTTGTTCCGCTTTGTCTCAACACCGTAGCCACAATACATCCAATTGTGCAGGAACGTTCGGATACCATCTCATGTAAGAAGAGGCTTCAATGTCGTCGCATATCGCCTTTGTGACCTCGACACCACGGCTCGACGCACTCGCTGCTACAGTAGTTCTTGATGACCGCCGTCCATTTCCTGTGGAGGAAGGTGCCCGTTTAGACCAATATGGGCATTCGACAAACTTGGATGAGATTAAGAAGGAGGTTATCCGTATGGTGTGCTTGCAGGTATCACTTTTGGGGATTCCGCTAATGTGTCTGAGGGTCTGAAGATTAAAGCTAAGGTGCAAGGGCTGGAAGTAGAACTTCCAGTCACGAAGCCTATGGCACTCCTCCACATATCTGGCCGCTTGACTACTGGAGAATCTGAGATTGCCATGGTCAAGATTCTTATGAGCTCTGAAAATATCAGTGGGAAAATATTAAAAACGTGGCACATAGGGGATATCAACCCTCAGGTGACCAACCTCAACTCAGATTTGATCATTATCTACCCTAACGTCTGCTACGAAATACCTGAAGACGTTCCATTCTGCCCACTATTCAGTCAAGTCTCCCCTGGAGCCCAAACTGTCTCCCATTCCCGAATATCCTCAACCATCTCTGGATCAATATAGTCGCTCAATCGTATAGGTGCACTGCTTCCGCAAGAGTCTCGTTCAACATGGTTTAGCATTGAGGTGTGGGTTGAGGTTGTGGATAGCAGACGCGACTCATAAGCTTTGTCGATAAGAGAAGGCTCTGAAGACTTGTGTTCATTAATAGGTTGCACAGAGTTTTCCATAGAATCCTTAATTCTATGATTGTTTGTGATCACCCTCCTAAGGCCGTCAACACTGTTGGTGATAGATGGACTGGGGAAATCATGATCATTCGAGATGACGTTCGTGCCTATCGTAGCCTCATTACTCGAATCTGCAGCGCCACTCGCTTCTCTCCTAACTAACTGTTGCTCTGATGCCCTATGGAAAACTGCGCTGATGTTTCTGCGCTTTATTCGTGTGGAGTAGTGCCGTTGTTCCGGACGAATGGAGATATTTGTTAAGCGTTGGCCCTCTACTTGAGTTGTAACATCATTAATTACTGGTATCGGGATTGGGTACACCGTCAGGGGCTGCAGAACCTCATTTCCAGAGACTCTCCGTCTTTTGGTGGTGTTCGTGCGTGGCCCAGCAGCATGATATGCTTGTTGACTTTGCATATTATGAAGGATTGGTACGGGTCCTTGTTGTTCAGGACGAATGACATGAGAGGGAACTCTGACATCTAATCCAGATCCTGGCCCTGCTGGCGATTGTGAAGCACGCCTGCAGTATTCATTGCTGTCTGGGGTGATAGGTTTTGGGAGCACCTTGCTCTCTTCGGCAAGTGACTTCGTATCTACATAACGGCAAATGAGCTTTGTTAAACGGGTAAGTCCTTTCGTGATATCGATACTCTCAATGCCTTGAGCCAAGAGTCCTTTGACAAGCTCGTTTACCACGATAAAATCCAAGGACCTAGACTGTTGTTCGACAGTAGTATGAATCTTGCGGTAATTGCACAGTAACTGAATATCTTCGTTGTTTAGATTTTCCATACTTCTATACATTAGCAGTAGTCAAAATTAGAACTTTCCATGCTTACTCGAATTTGGCGGCGTTCATCGACAAGAGAGAACCTGGACCTCCTATTTCTGAACATTCTAAGTATCGACAGGCATCAGAGTATGTTCTACGTGCAATTTCCCTCTTTTTCTTATCACCCCTGGAAATTGTATCAAAAGCGATCGATTTTTTGCGTCGTCCTTGTGAAAGTGCAAGTTGCACGCATTCATATTGATCCACCGCATTGCTGAAATATAGAAGATTGTATCGGTATACTTTGGTATCTTGCTTTGGAGATATTTTCTCAAAGATCGCTGTTGCGCGTGCGATTGAGGTTTTCAGGATTGATTCTTCGTCGCAGATGCTGCCTGGACCGATGATCGTCCCCGTCTGTATGATTGGGATTTCTTCTATCGAGTCTTCATCGTAGACTCTGTCTGGATCAACAACCTCCTGAATTTGGAACTCAGTAATACGTTGAGCAACTTTTACTAATCTCCTTAACCTGTTCCCTTCCTCTGGGATTAAATTCCGGAAGTATTCTTCCGCTGGGGTTGGGGTGTCCCGTGGTTGGTGTGGCTGCTGTGTGGCTGGGACCGGGGTCCGGAGAGGAATTATCCGTCTGAATCGTTCATCAGACTTGAACTCCTCTGGAAGCAGTCTGAAACACTCATCTACAGCTCCTTTTCTGAAGAATCGACGAAAACTTGCAAGCAAGACCTTGATCACTCTTGTTACTTATCAGTTCTTACTTTTCGGGATTTACTTACTTCGTCTCTCAAGACATCAGACGGTGTATAGGAATCTAGGGCTGTTACAAAATCTGCGCAAGATTTAGAAGATGTCATTTCTTTTGAGAGTGGGCGTCTAGGTTTGCAGGTGCGAGTGTGGAGGTCTCCAGGGAGATGAGCCTTTAGTCCCAGTTCTGGGATCGAACCTAAGCCGCTTTAAGAGTATGCTTCGCCAAGAGTGTTCATAACGTCGTTCCTGGGCTCGGACCGCGTAAACTCCCTTCTGCCGTGTTAGTTGCCTCATTGAGAGACTGTCTAATAGTGGCTTTATCATCTTACCAAACCCGCGGTATTGCCCCTCATGCATTTGATCGGCATAGCATTCAGTAACAGACCTTTCCGCTGCAGGCCTCGTAAGTTGTGAAAGGGCCAACTATCGACAAGTCTGCCATGGTAACCGTAAGGAACTGTCAACCAATGCAGCAGTCCGCTATACTATTGGATTGTACACAGATAGGAGCTCTGTAGCTCGAACTCACGGTATTCAACGTCCACTCAGACTATGGGGACCGTGCTTTGCCGGTTGCCTCGTACCCGCGCTCCCGTCCACGTCGTTCATCGGCAGGCACCCTGGCTAGAGCCCCTTCCCAGACAGCAGTGGCCTTCCATTGTCTGGAGCGTTTTCAAATAGACAATCCAGAGAGATTTGAGCGGCTAAGACACTCATATATCATGCACCTTTTCTGCAAGGCTAAGATGTCCTTCTGTTCATTGCCTCACCGCCCTTGCGTTCTTCACTGGTTGCCTTCTTTGAAGCTCGGCCTGCTGGCAGAATGGTTCCACTTTCTTCAGATTTACCTCAGGTATGTGATTTGTTACCATCATTCGATCTAAACTACAAAGAATAAGAAAGGAACTGACCTTCTAGCCTGACTCCCTAAAGGGCCAACCATGTCCAAAGAAACTTGTCATTCGCCCTGAACGTACGTCATTCTGTTTCCGAACCATGCTTGAAATTTGAGCAAACATGAGTGTTGATATGCCATAGCGGACGGGAACTACCGATGCAAGCGTTGTCTAAAATGCTTCGTTTGCTATGAGGCATATGCACACCACGCGACGACGCACGGCGACATCATCAATTATATATACACCAAACCCAAGCAGCTAGCTCCTTTGTTGCCAGATGTTACTGTCTTTCATGATGTTTATTGCGACCGCAGTATTCATCGTGTTCGTGTAACTATCTCACAACCCTTTGGATCTACCTCTAGGATACAGCAGATGGATGAGGAAGTGACTTTGACCTTTAAAGAATTCCTTGACCAAGACTTCGTTTCCACGGAAGCATACGAAGATACATTAAAAAAGATGGAAGAGTTTGATAGGCAGTGTTGCAGAACAATCCACGATACAGCTATAGTAAGGACCTTACAACGTCTGTCTTCGAATGCGAGAACTAATTCTATATAGTTTAATCCCAAGAATTGGGTAAGATGGCTACAATCGTGCTTCTTTTCATGTATTCCGACCTTGAGAAGGTCTGGATCTCGTCGTTGGTCCAGCATATCGAGCTCGAAACCGATCTCTCGCTCTCCATCGAAAGAAGTTTTTGATATCAATGAGGGGCACGAAACCGTTGCTGAGTGTTCAACATCAGCAGTAAGTCGGCCCTCCCCTATGTATGTTGCGTCCGATCGGATACTTACGCCGGTCCCTCTTCCAGACAAACAATGTTCTTCCTAGAGACGTTCATGCGATCGTAGCTGTACAGTCTTTCTACTCCACTTCTAAAGGCGTCTGTGGCTATGGAGTACTTGTCGCAACCCGATCGAACACTATAAACCTCCTAGAGAAGGTGGATATTAACGCGTTTCGTCCACATGAGCGCATTATGAATCAGCTCCGAGGCCTTGTTGGTGAACTCGCTTACACACAGCTATTGAAACTTGATGAAAAGCGCATTGATGTTTTACATCCCGTTTATTGCGGCGTTTTACCAGATGATTTGCCAATTGGCGTAGGCCAAGAGGTTCCGTTGGCGGAATGTACTCCGATACTCCAAGCCCATCTTTATAATTGTCTCGATAGCTAAATTGTTTTCCAGTATAACAGTATTTTACCTAGTATCGCAGCACTTTTTTCAGAAGCATTTTGCTCTTACAGTTTTATACATGTATTTACGTTAGAAAGGTTAATCTCTTGAAGTATATATTAGCTAAATTCTATTTGCACTAGCTATGTCGTGGTTTCAATTTTGGAAGGAGAACACCCTACATCTGGCCCTAAGCTTCTCTTGGAAAGCATCGGCGTGAAAGATTGTTGAGGCAGGAAGGATGTGATGTGGAGAAAGGCGGCGTATCTGTACTGATTAGGGCAATGAATACGGAGCCAATTACTTTTCAATTTAATATACTATGATTAGAATGTACCCCATAGGTCTGGTCATTTGACCTTGAATATATCTTAGCATGGAGCTTTGTTATTAAAGTCACGCTTGCACCAGATCTCTAATAATCTTAGGCGTCATCAGTTTCCGTCCTTTAATAATGCTTCCTTCTACTTTCTAAACAAAGCCGAAAGCTTCACAGAATAGGCATCCCTACTCAACAGATCCAGAACCTGGCTCTATCGTAACCTCAGTTTTTTGAGCGAGATGTATTGTCCACTTGCTTCGGACCAACGGGAGCAAGACCAGGATTACCCAGACGAACGAACACTCCGACCTTCGAAGTCAAGAATTTCCAAAGCTTGCAATCGATGTCGTGATCGTAAGCGGAGATGTAACGGGGAGTCTCCATGCAACAGATGTCAAGAAGACAATGAGGCTTGCAAATACGTGGAAACCCAACCAACTGCGTACAGTGTCCTCCTTGTACTTCCAATCTTCTGCTTACTTCCTTTAGTCAAGAGATGACACTTTCGAAGATATATCATGTCACAGAACGTACATGGAAGAAAGTTTCTAGTTTTGCTGACCTGCTAGAGGCGTCTGGAAGAAATCGTTCCTACACACATTCCACTCTACTCGAACCCAGACGAAAAGATTCATCGAAGGCATTTTCTAGCGAAAATATTCGCCAGCTTTTCAATGTCTACATCGACAACGTTCATATCCTATATCCAATTTTTGACAAGCCTTGGGCCGTATGTGCTCAATTTGAGGACCACATGAGTCACACAGCAGAACGGAGCCATTTCGTTGAGCCAAGCTTCGAAAATGCCCATGCACTCCTCTTCCTCGCACTAGGAAGTTGTTTTTCAGATTCCAACAATACAAAGGAGTCGGATACTATACCAGGCAGTGTGTACTATGACTGGGCGCAATATATTCTCAAGTGCAGGTGTGGAGATCGCAGCATTGCTTACGCACAAGCGTTGACTCTAGCTGCACTATACAACAACCAAAATGCGATGCTTGGAGAAAGTTTGGCAAGCCTGTGCCTTGCTCAATCGATATACGAAGACATTGTCAAGAGGTAAGGCAACTCATTTTTATGCAGATGGTCAGGCTAATAGCAAGCAGCTTAATTGCCAAGGATCACCTTTCCGAGGAAGTGAAGAGAAGCGTTAGAATCTTCCAAATTCTGGCAAGGTTAGTTGACCATATCAGTCTGAGTGCCCCTCTAATTCTTTTCCTAGCAGCGTCCATGATTGCCCCAGCATCATCCCTTCCTTATCTTACCTTCATGACTGGACCGCATTGAAACCAGGGAAAAAGATGGAAGATGTCCCTAATGATGTTTTGTGGACAAAAATAATGCTAGGAACGGTACTTGAGGCAGCAAAACGATATCCGCGGCTGCCAGATTTTGCATCGATAAAGAAATTCGATGACGAACTTCTTTTCGATTTTGCAAGATGCGCGGAGTTCAAAATCAAAATTATGGAGGCATGGAGATCTACCATCATGCCGCATTTAGCCTGGAATGATCAAGATCTGCCATCAACGGATCCTCTGATGGCTTCGCTACGAGCAGAGTACTATGAGGGCGTAGCTACGTTGCTACGACCGTACCTGGAGGTCCTGAAATATCTTAATCGTATCGATGTCTCAGTGAACGAGACATCCAAAGGCCAGCGCGGTATCCTTCACACTCTCCATAATTGGAAGAGATATGCTCTTTCTAATATCGTCGCCTTTGACCGTATCCGTTCGGTTGATGGTACTTATAAGGCTTTTCGAAGTACAAGTAATGGTCCAGTAGTCATGGGAAATCCTGTGAATACACTTCACTCGTATGTCGACTACCCCGTTACCCAGAACACGTGTCTAAAACTGATCGTCCACAGAGAATTCAAGACAGTTTTTCTCATTCAAGCCATTGATTCGACCTCACTTGGAGCACATATCAGGAATCTCATGTTGCTTTCAAAGGAGGATATGGATTACCTTTACTATCGTACAGTCGACAGATTGTCAAAATTTCGACCACGTATTGGACTTTTAATCCAGGATATTCAGCTTTTGTGCATGCCTTGGCAACACATGGACCCATTCCTTCGGTTAGATCTAGCCGCCACATTGGCAGTATAGGCAGTCTCGGACAGGTAAAGTAAGTCTTGGGTATACTTCTGGTGGTTTATATCTTGAGAGTAATACAGTCGTTTGATACTTCATTCAGTGCTGCCTGGCAAGTTAATAGAAACGCAAATCTAGTTTTTCTACCAAGCTTCCAAGAAGCTGGTGTGCCTGGTTTCCATATTTTTGTATCAGTAGTGTCCCAATTCCCTCCATGTGTGACAGATCCAGTGGACTGAAACTACCAAATAGGAGCATCGAACCTTAGGATTAGCGCTGAGCGGAAGTATCACTACGCTGCTTCTTCCACTGCATCACCACGTTTTAACCCTTGATCTTTGCGAAGACGCTGGAAGTTTAATCCGGAAGGAGTCTTCAAGCAAAGTGTATCATTCGAACAATAGAACATCCTGACCAGGCCTCCGGTCACGACTCCATTCGCTGACTGTGCACATGATTGGTAGATTTCTGGCGGCCTGGATGTATAAACGAACACCAAGTACGAGATACGGGTTACCAATTTCGCGTCCAACAAAAGTTGGAAGCCGATCTTGGAAGCGATTAGATCGCGTTATCAGGACATAGTAGTGTGTATGGGAAATAGGTCGGGCATGTGCGAGGCCTTAAGTACCTAGAGGTGTCTCATGAGGTTAGGATCTGATAGTTTTGGGTGCGCCTTAGCTAGTTGTCGCCCTACGAAAGTGTACCTATCTCTCAAGTCTAGAATTTTATATAAATTCTCCGTTCACTAGACGCAGCACATGCAACCTTTATATTCTGATTTATCAGTATGTCGAATGATGTCCATGATGTCAGAGTTGCGCTTCAGACTATTACTCAGGCGCCCATTGCATCGCTCCTTATAAATACTCGCGAGCTTTGCGAAGCGAATTTTGTTATTGCAAAGGCCATTCACTCTCTCCATTCGAGTTTTTGCGAGGATGTTGGAAAATTCGAAACTCAATTGGATGATGCAGCCGACCGTGCTATTGCTCAGGCTCAGGTTGATCCCATCTTGGAAGTCAGCACCAGGCAAGGCGGTGACCAGGAAACGATGCGCCAGTATGAGGCCCGACGTGGCCGGCCAGAGCATGCAGTTATGAGGCTTGTACAGTATTGGATTCAGAAGAAAATGGCGGGACCCAGTGTACTCAGTGCTGCAGATGAACATATAATATTAGATGATTTACGCAAGTCTGTAGTTTCAAGTACTCGTGTCTTTTTGGCACTAGTAAGAAGTACAAAAAAAAGACGGTCCGCTACCACTTCGCGACGCTGAAGAACGCGCGTATGATAGGTACTTCGAGTATTTAAATTGCCGCTTTCGTTGTCTGTGCACATTAGTTGGTTAGGCAGTATGAACACGTCGAGGGCTCTCCAAGGCTTTGGCCCCTCGGCGGCGATTAGGGCAGTAGGCTGAGCCACACCTAATCAACTAAACGGAAGTAATTTACATCAATATTCAATAGTTAGAAAATTTGTCAAATGTTACAGGCATCGTGGCGTTCAATGACCAGAGGTACTATGAAAGCCTTTCACCGCTGGCTCAATGACTAAATTAGTTGCCTAATTGTCCCCGGTTTAGCTACAACCTCCTGATTATTGCGCCACACGAAAAAGAAGACACCTTAGATAAACTGAAGTATTGTCCATCTCATCTTTCGCACAAATCCACCGATCCTAGCTTCTACAAACGAGGACTATACATTACCCAATTAGATTCGGTACGGGCAAAATTTTTAACATAGAGCCCGCAGAAATAATAGCGTCTATAAACTAGAAGAATATAGAGTTATAGAACTAAAATTATCAACTTCTTGGCAAGCTTTAAGAAGCTTAAGAACAACTTTCTGAAGTGCGTACGCTGAATGACACTTACGAATATGAATTACAACCCTAAGCTTTTTAGACATATATGGCTAATGAGACGATCACTAGTCTCAACCATCATATCTACTTTCTAAAAAGTCATATAGCTCGCGTCGAAAACCAATTAGATTAAGCAATGCGAGTATATAGGGAGACGACTGAGTATTATGAACGGGAAATTGCCGCCGGAAGATGGTCGTGTCACCGATGGAGCTAGGAAGCGGCAAACCTTAGTTCCAGCGCAAAGGATCTCTATTACAATACCTTCGCTAACTTTAAGGCTAGTAATGTAAGTGACGAATAGAAAAAGGACCTTATACAGAAAATTATGGAGATCGAGTCTACTGTTTTCTTGAAAGAAATCTAGAAAAACAACCTTAAGCATGCCCTAGAGAATAACAAAGCTTATCTGAAGAAGGTTTGCATTATATCTTTTATAACGATCGAGAGTCGGAACGATTTGAATCGCAAATTTGCTAAGATAAACGTTATGCTTCGCTCGAAGGCGGGAAAGAGCGCGCACGCTCTTAGTATGGCTAGGAAGGAAATAAATAGCTTGCAAAAGAAGATTGAGGATACAGAGGAAGAATTAAAAAAGTGCTAAGAAATAGAGGAGCAACTGAATAAGGGTATTAAGAGGGAGGTACAACTTGAGCGCGAATACTAGCTGTTACTTGCCGAAGTAGAAGGTCTTTGAATTTCGAATGACTTCTATAAGCGCGAGGATGTAAATTAGACGCAAATTATTTCTAGTTTAAAAAGACTAATTAGTAGTAAACTTACAGAATACGGAGCGGAATGAAGCATTTACTAAAACTGTCGCCAACTATAAGGCTGATATAGCGCGGCTTGTTGCGAACTAAACCTGACTAGAAGACGAGATTCGAAAGTAACAAAGTATCGTCAATAAGGCTTTAGAGAAGATAAAGGAGCAGATTGGGATTATAAATAAGGTAAAGAAGGAGGTGGCTATTTATAAAGGACATGCTCTGGCTACAACCCACTCACTGCTAGTTAGCTTATCGCGCAACAATTTCGAAGTTGCTATAGGTATTGTTTATCATATCTTTAAAAGGTTGAAAGATGTTGATTCCAAAGAAAAGGCAACACGAGCGATTAACAACATTAATGGTTATCTTGAACGGCAATTTAAGACGATCGAGGACTACACTACACTGTGAATGTAATGTTAAGCAGTGTTGAGGTACAAGGACTAATAGAGGACCTTCAAAACCAGACTCTAAAGGAAGTAAGGTAAGATGAGTTGAAGGGCTTCATTGGGTATGTACAAGGGTTGTAGTATAGGCTTGAGGCAGAGGCTGCGCAGAAGGTGAACAAGCTTGATATCTAGCATAAACATTCACTAGCTAGTGAAAATGGGTATAACTATAAGTGCAGGTACTGCGACTCGCTCTGAACTTATGGAACAGCATTATTATTGAGCGTTAGAATTTGGCTTTACCTAGCTCGACTTGACTGCTTGAGTTGCTTGTAATAGGCTAGGACTTGAGCGTCCTACCTCTACTGTATTCCGGCCGCTAGTTTGTTCCTCTTTTATCTATATCTTTGGCTTTAGGTACCGCGTTATCTAGATCTCTATATCCTGACCTCTGAATGCTTATTTGCAAAAAATCGCTGGATACCTTCTAGATTGACTGGTCGCTGAGATGACTACTGAGTTGTTTGATATAGTCCCCGTATCCACGGTTCTTGCTATGTATTGTCTTTTGGCTATTTAATACTAGAAATTGCACGGCTTCGTGGCCTGTAGCGTGGTTGTCGATAACGCTTACGTTTTCTTTTAAGTTTTGTTCTGCTTAAGAATAAATATCTCTGTATTTATAAGTACTTGTCTATTCTTCGCGCAATTTTGTAAGGGATCTTATATCTTCTTGTGTTATTGTTACGCTTAAGCTAGCCATTATTTGATCTAAGATGTTTTGTATGTGAGTTTCTAATTTCGCAGTTGTTTGCTCTATACTAATTCTGTATTCTTGAATGCCATCGCTTGTAATCTTCTTAGGTATGCTGTCTACGCCTTGGGGAAGATCCTTTGCTGATAATGATTGAAGCTGCTGGATGAGCGTGGAGAACTAAGCGTAGATTAGAAGGCATTTTTGCGTGCTTGAACGCTCTTCCTTTAAGCTTTGAAGCTCTGGTGTTGCCGAGCTTGAAGTAGTACGCTCTACTAAAGATTGGAGCTTTTCATTGATCGTTTTGAGTCGCGCCTTAAGATCGTTCGTTGCTGTTGTGATAAGATCTTTATAGTCTCTAAGACGCTCTAGAGTAATAGAAGACTTGCGACTAGAGGAGATTAATTAGTTCTAGTATATAAGGTTGGGTATAGAACTATGGGACTTACAGCTGCATGTCTGTGAGCGCGATGTTGATTGTTAACTTATATGCTGCTAGTGTGTCTGTAAAATTATTGATGTCGTCGCCTATGTACTTTAGCTTGGCCTAGTCCTGGAAGCTTTGTCGATCGCCCCTAGATTGCGCGCAGCACTTTTGGAGCTCCTGTAAAAACTCGTTGTAAGCGCTGCTATATCGTCGTAAAGGTAGATTAAGTGCGGGGATATCTACGTCCGTGTGTAGTTTTATTGTCTCGTCCAATGATTCTAAAACGCTAATGAGAGCCTCTAGCTCGTTGATGAGATTGCGTACTCGCTTAGGATGGGTCTTAAAGCTCTGTATTGTTTCGTAAAGCGTAAGGCATGATTTGTGGGCGAAAATGACTAATGTTAAAACGCCAGAAGTAAGGCCTATAGGTTCAGCTATTGCAAAGATGCGTGTTGCGATAGATTTAATGTAACTATTGGACGAGAAATTTTGGGACCGAAGTTAGTCTGAATAGGTTTTCGACCAAGTGCATCGCGTTACGAGGTGTAAGAACTGCGTACCTAATTGGTCTGTGTCACCGGTTGAATATGCGCCACTAGTCCCGTTCAGGACGGTCAGCGGTTATTCTGACATGCCAAGGAAGCACTGCTCGATCCCATCGTGCTAAAGGTAGCATCCTATCGTGGCTGCTCGCTCTTCTTAGTACTTCTCTGACTTTCTTATAAGGCCAGCCTGCTCGCTTCTTTTGTGAAAGCATTTCATTCTGGATGGTTATGCACTCTTACGTCATGTGACCTAGGAATTGAACTATGCTAGTTACTAGAGGATGATGCGCTGTCTTCCTGCTGCAGAGGATTCTGTTTCGAAGCGTTATGACTTTGACGCTGCCCAATTGTCTGAAGCGTGGCATCAGACATTTGCCCTAGTAACTGTGTAGACCTTGCACTAGCTGAAACCCGTCGAGCATTAATCAAATCCCCAACTGTTGACACGATAACTTGGTGACTATCTTCCCTAAGTGACACTTCATCGAACATGTTGACTCGCTCCGTCTTCAAAAGCTTTAGCGCAAACTGCTAAGCTCCGTTTAATGCTGTCGATTTCCTCTCGCAATTTGTTTTGTTCGTTGGAGTCTGGATAGACAAAGGTCTGCCCCTGGAAAGCGTTTAAACGGCGAAGAGCATCCATAAGATGCACTCTAAGCTGCGACGACGTAAAGGTAAGTCTCTCCTTACAATCATCTAGGACGGTGATTGTAGCTCGTCGGGCTGAGCTGGCAGAGCTGTCAACGTCGATTGGACTGCCATACTCTTCTGGGAATGTGAGCATGCTCTGTGACATAGTGGACTGCCCTTTTTCAATATGCGACGACATCCCAGCGCATATATCGAGACATCTCTGTATGCTATCGCGCTCGAGCTGGATTGCTTGTTGGTCGAAGTTCGTCTGACCACAGCTTGAACCACCATCAACAAGAGCTTGTAGCTTGTCGTTGATCCTTTGTAGGCTATCTTCGAGATCCGACGCGGTGTTTTCTATTAGCTCTTGATATTCGTCGATTGCTTTAGCTGTGACCGTAGCTTTTCGCCTGTTATGTAAGAGGTTAGTCTTATTTGCAAAACGTCAAGGTCCACTTACAAGTTCGCATCACAAAGAGCGATAGTGATTGTAGACTTGTATCCAGCCAGTAGGGCTTTGAATCCTTCAATGTCGTCACCCAGATATTTCAGTTTTGCCCAGTCCCGAAAACTTGCTAGAGAACTATGAGATTGCTTTCAGACACACTCACCACACCAACTTCGAGTTTTCTAGAATAGGTGTAATATCAGTCAAATATATACAAATAAACCCTAAGAAATCG